GTTATCGTTCGTAAGATCATTACCGGTTGTCATGATAAATGTGTTGGTTATCATTCACCAGATCATGATTAGTTATCATAACAACTGTATTGGTTATCATTCGCCAGATCATTAACAGTTGTCATAACAACTGTGTTTGTTATCATTCACCAGATCATCATCAGTCATATTGATAATTGTATTGGTTATCATTCGCCAGATGATTATCAGTTATATTGATAACTGTATTGGTTATCATTCGTAAGATCATTACCAGTTATCATGATAAATGTATGGGTTATCATTCACCAGATCATTATCAGTTATCATGATAACTATTGGTGTTATACCCAGATGAAGAAAATGAGAGGGGAGGGGGAGTGAGGAAATTAAAGATGAAGCAGCAACAGCCGGCAATAAGAAACAAAACAAAAAAGTATTGCTTTGCATTATGTTATTGATATTTTTTTCTTGTTGTTCTTCTCATTCTTCTTATTTCGTTCGCTTGAAATAGATTATCTATATCTGCAATGTTGTCTCTAGTATAAGCGTCACTGTCTTTTGTTTATTGATGTTTACTCCCCGACTTCTACAGCGCCTCGAGGACAGTGCCTCTACGCCCAGTATGAGAATGGAGATGGAGGCAGTAAGGGCAGATTTTCCATGACGTAACATAGCTCGATATGTTGTAATTGTGACGGACTCTCAGAGCATGATTTGGAAAACTGAAACTGGCGTCCTGCCAGAGAGGCTTGTATCACTTGATAGTCCCAGATCAGGCTGAGATCATGGATGTTTTCGTCAAGGACGTTCAAATGTGCGAGGTAACGAGCAGGCTGATAGATTAGCTGCTGCCCTTCCTTTATGATAAAGCGGACTTAGTGAAGGCTCTCCGCGATCATATAGACTGTGCAGTGGAGCAGAGTATTCATATACTGGAAGGCTAATTCAGCGGGGTGTGTAGACAGTCTGGAAGATATTCAACACTGAGAGGGCAACAGAGACAGATTTTTAATCAGGTTGTAGCAGGTATTATCAACATGTCCACTCTTCGTTTGTTACTGAAAAAGGGGACGGAGCACGAGTTGGAATCTCCCCAGTGCAGTGATGTCAGTTCCTAATTAGTTCATTCATTAATTTCCCGACTCCTACTATGTTAAGAGATTAGAGATTCAATAAAAGAAACGCGAAGACGCACCCACATGCAGCCTAACGTATCGACACAAGTCTTTATCAAATTTGAAGTTTTAACAACGGACCAACATCATGGCACACGGGTAGTAACTCTTAAGTGCCCGGTTCTTCTTTTAACTCAAGTCTGAGCCGAAAGAAGCTCAGGACAGTGCACAGGCTCTGAAGCACCGGCGAGGATCCTGAAATACTTTGGGTAGATTTTTAACTCCAAATTTTGCCCGCGCAGCGCCGTTAGGCTACTCTTTTCGATTTCGAACTGACAAGAAATTTTTTACGTGCGCAGCAATGCAGACAGGCGTCCGATCTCACTACCCAGAGACTATGGGGAAATACTAGAAGTCCAAGTCCACGTGAAAAAATCCCAGCCCTTACTAGGGATTGAACACAGAACCTCTAGCACTCGAGACGGAAACCACGCCTCGAGACTACGCAGCCCTTCCCAAGTCTTTATCAACTGATGTTCAACCATGCACTTTTTGTTTACAGAGCTCCCACCTTTGCTTCGGTTGCCAGAAGCCCGTATGTGACCGCTACGTGATCCAGGTGAAGGACCATGGATTCTGGCATGCAGACTGTCTAAAGTGCAGCAACTGCCATGATAACCTCAGCGACCAGAAGTCTTGCTATGTCAAGAATGAGCAGGTCTTCTGTCGCAACGACTATAACATGTGAGTAGGGATTGTGTGGTTGTAACGTCAAGAATGAGCAGGTCTTCTGTCGCAACGACTACAACATGTGAGTGGGGTTTGTGTGGTTGTAACGTCAAGAATGAGCAGGTCTTTTGTCGCAACGACTATAACATGTGAGTAGGGATTGTGTGGTTGTAACGTCAAGAATGAGCAGGTCTTCTGTCGCAACGACTACAACATGTGAGTAGGGATTGTGTGGTTGTAACGTCAAGAATGAGCAGGTCTTCTGTCGCAACGACTACAACATGTGAGTAGGGATTGTGTGGTTGTGACGTCAAGAATGAGCAGGTCTTCTGTTCAGCATCAGCAATCGGAGTAACATATTCAGTATCATCATTATTATCTTCACCGTCATCAGAATCTTCCTTCTCCTCATCGTCATCATCATCATCATCATCATCATTAGCGGCAAGAATAGCAGTAATAACCTCATCATATATCTGACCACTAATAGGAGCAGCATATTAAGTTGCATCTTTACCATTATCGCCAAGATCATCGTCATCGACATTATTATCATCATTATCGTCATTAACATCATCAGAATCAGCATCGACATTACTATTAGGAGAGCATAATCTGTATCATTATTTCTTTCATCATCATCACCGTATAATTATCATTATCGCCAACAGTAACTAACCTCAGCCCCAGTGGTATAATAAACTCATCTTCTCCACAATCATTAAAGCCAAAACAAGCCTAAGGTTGTTGTCATTGTTTTCCAGGTTTTATCTACAATCGTATCTGCTTCCGTCCTTATTAACTATTCACTTGTCTCGTCTTCTATTTTTCTATCCTACTTACCTTTCTTTGGTTGCAATTGTTCACATTATTGTTTTTCCCCCTCTACTTCTACTCCAACGTCATTGTTCTTCTTCCCTTCTTCCCACCCTCCTCTTCCATTTCTGCATATTCTTCAACTATTTCTTTATACCACCCCCACCCCCCTTTTTTTCCTCATTTTTCTTCTTCTCCTGTTTTTCTTCTTCTTTTTCTTCTTCTTCTTTTTCTTCTTCTTCTTTTTCTTCTTCTTCTTCTTCTTCTTCTTCTTCTTCTTCTTCTTCTTCTTCTTCTTCTTCTTCTTCTTCTTCTTCTTCTTCTTCTTCTTCTTCTTCTTCTTCTTCTTCTTCTTCTTCTTCTTCTTCTTCTTCTTCTTCTTCTTCTTCTTCTTCTTCTTCTTCTTCATCATCTTCTTCTTCTTCTTCTTCTTCTTCTTCTTCTTCTTCTTCTTCTTCTTCTTCTTCTTCTTCTTCTTCTTCTTCTTCTTCTTCTTCTTCTTCTTCTTCTTCTTCTTCTTCTTCTTCTTCTTCTTCTTCTTCTTCTTCTTCTTCTTCTTTTTCCTTCATCTTCATCTTCTTCTTCTTCTTCTTCTTCTTCTTCTTCTTCTTCTTCTTCTTCTTCTTCTTCTTCTTCTTCTTCTTCTTCTTCTTCTTCTTCTTCTTCTTCTTCTTCTTCTTCTTCTTCTTCTTCTTCTTCTTCTTCTTCTTCTTCTTCTTCTTCTTCTTCTTCTTCTTCTTCTTCTTCTTCTTCTTCTTCTTCTTCTTCTTCTTCTTCTTCTTCTTCTTTTTCTTCTTCTTCTTCTTCTTCTCATCATCCTCTAGTTTATTTTGTTGCCTTACCATCTTTTCACTCCACTTCCAAATTTTCCTCATCCTTTTAAAAAAAAACCTGTCAACCGTTGTCGAGACGGAAACCACATAAAAACCAAGACACAAGACCATCCCAGCAATCGCCTACAAGAACTCTGTTCTTTCCTCTCTGGTACCATTCTTTGACCAACATGAAAGTACACCACAAAAGAACACAACAAGACGGAAAGTAAAGTAGTGTATTAATGAATTCGAAATGGGTTTCCAGCCTCACTTAGCACACACAAAAGCTTCCTGTGATGTCCTCATCGGGCTGTCCAAGACTTGAGTAAAATACTTGGGCTTTCATGGTAAATTAGAAACCTGCCTAGACTGATTCCTCTTGCCGTTTCCCGTCTGCGGGCTGGTGGGCTGACCAGACACGCCCCTGCAGCACTAATTATTGGCTCTAGTTGGATAATTAGACGATTCGGCAGCGGTAAAAATCGATGTTGAAACTGTTTGAGAATATGACATAAATTTGGACTTAGGAGAGTCGCTAAACATGGGCAATGAAAGATAATGAATATCAAGAGTTATGATGACGACTTCAAGGAATATCACTTGCGATGAAGACTCAGTAACACTATTTATTATTATTATTATTATTATTATTATTTTTATTTTTACAATTATTATTATTATTTTATTATTACAATTATTATTATTATTATTATTTTATTATTATTACAATTATTATTATTATTTTTATTATTACAATTATTATTATTATTATTTTATTATTATTACAATTATTATTATTATTAGTATTATTATTATTATTAACTCTTTCGGTCTCCAGTGTGTTACCAGGACCGTCATGGAAAGCGAATAATAGTAAAACTGCACCCTACCAAGCATGTCGTAAGAGGCGACTTAGGGTTAGGTTTTTGGATTGGTTACCTCTTTCCAAATTAAAAAAAAATAGCTGCAAAACCAACATACCCGCTCTTAAAGACCACTCCTTGTGATTGAAGGAGTCAGGCGTGCTGCCACAAAGAACACAATTGGGGCCCCCTCGTTTACGATGTCAGTATTTATTTTTCCTTTTGTTCACGTTATTCTGAAAATCTATCTATAGAATTTCAGCCGAAATGCTCCTATTTTCTTCCTTGAACGACCATGCGCTTTGACCGACGCTCAATACTCAAGGAAAATGCGAGACGGATATACAATCAGACAGTTACTGGTGCCATCGGAATTGGAACTCTTCGCTTGCTGCTGAAGATGTGGGCGGAGCGCTCATAGGGAGTGTCTAGAGTGCTGTGATGTCGATTCTAATTCAACAATTCCTTGCAGACTGAACTAAAAATCGGTCCGGGACTCACATCCTCATACTCTTCGAATAACCGTAACTGTGGGCTGTCCTAGAGTTATGAAGTACCCTGCATTACATTGTACGTTGGCAGTTCAGTCAAATGAAAACGTGCACAATGAATGAAAGCATTTCAGCCCACCAGATGTTCCGCCCTGATGATTTGACTTGATCTGAAAACGTTTGTTTCAGTCTGTTTGGCTTGTCCTGCGTAAAGTGTTCCCTGCAGTTCAAACGTGAGCAAGACTGGATGCGGGTGGCAGGACAGCATCGATACCACATCGCCTGTTTCCTCTGCAAGGTGAGTGTTTTCACCACTAAACGTTTCCCACTTGACTTTTGTGTGTGTGTGTGTGTGTGTGTGTGTGTGTGTGTGTGTGTGTGGGTGTGCTGTAAATGAAAGGTAACGGTTATTAAGTAATGGAAATGACGTCATAATGCTTGGAACACACTATATTTTTTTAACCATCGTTTATTTTATTTTATTTCATTCATTCCACATAAAATTTTGTAAAACATTGCTCACCTCACCCCTTAGATGTCTGTACACTCTCCTCTCCTCGTTGTTACCTTTGTGTAGTTCACTTTATGTTTGACAAAGGCTGCCCGGCCAAAACATTACGTTATTTGTGTTGTTTTGTGTACATTTTTCTGCCTCCCCATTTGGTTAAGCTTTTTAGTCAAATTTCACTGGAATTCCCTGGAACACACCATAAAGTTACGCGTTTCCCTTGCCCGTGTTTCCTGCAAATGGAGTTCTTTTAATGTCTATACAAGATAACAAAATTATTCAAAGGAAGTGACGTCATAAAGCTCGGGATACGTCAGTAAGTTGCCCGTTTCCATTGCTGGTTTTCTCAGCAAGTAAATTCTAAAAAAAAAAAAAAAAATTATCCTATAAGACATATAGCATAGTTTATAATAGCAGCTATTGGTTGATAGAAGTGGCGTGATTAGAAAGACCCGGTTTTATTGGCTGTTGATTCTATAAGGTTACATCCTATTATTAGGTGTATCCAACATGTTATTTTATGTATTAATAGGCAGCAGTTATTGGTCAACAAGAGATACCTAAGGGGCGTACCCAAAAGCGTCCCGAATGTTGAATGTTGAATAAGCAATCGACAACACAGCATTCGGGACACTCCCATAAGTTCTCAGTCCCCATCTTCAGCAGCAAGCAAGGAGTTCCTATTTCGATAATACCAGTAGCCTTCTGATTGACCTTCTGTCTCATCCTTCCCCCTGACTGTTTAGCGTTGGCCAGATCCCTCGGTAACTCCTCGCAGCGTCATTCTCCACAGACCGTAATGATCTATCTGCGCCTCTGCACTGTTCATTCGCTCCCAAAGGGCCCTCACAACATTTCACTGTCTTTGTCGGAATGTGTCAGAGTGAATGAATGCTGATTACCATCCTCACATTCTGATTGGTGACATACGTAACATTCAGTGCATTCGATATAAGCCACAAATTACAGTTTCTATTGTATTTTCCTTTAGTTTGAATATTTAAGTCTTATTTTTTAAAATATGTTTTTGACGCTTCTGGTCGGGATGTAGTATAGGCGCGGTCACTGCTCTTAGTCGTGGCAAATGGTTTACTTCTTACAAGACTGTAGCCGTTGCATTTTCCTCCATTTGGAGACTGAAAAGGATATTGTTTTGTCGCCCAAGTTTTGATCTGAGTGCATGGTGCGACACTGTGAGCTGTGGATTTCATTTGGAATGTTTTTCGACTAAGACCCAGAGTGGCGTTGTGAACTGTAGATTCAGAAAATGACGCATAGCCTGTTGTCACAGAATTTGTGGACTGTTTGTGTTAGCATTTCTGATGGCTGCCATATATTTTTAATGCATGCGTATGCTAGTGAATATGCTGAGACCGCATTCTGTATCAGTCTTTTCATGAAGGACAGTGGTGACATTTCTGTGTGGTTTTCGTTGGCATAGGAACTGTCTACATGAGGGTAGACCCGTTTGCTATAAAGCTGAAACTAAGATTACCAATATTTTCTGCAATATTATTTGCATAATTTCACAGAAGTTTGTTTTTATCTATCATTGAACTTATATATATATATAGGAATTTGTGGAGGTCAACAGAAATTAAAAGAAATACTAAACTTAAAATTTTTAATTCTAATGTCAAATCAGTACTTTTGTGTGGGGCGGAAACATGGAGAACAACTAAGACAATTAATAATAAACTACAAACATTCATTAACTGGTGCCTGCGCAGAATAGATGGAATTAAATGGTGTGATAGAATCACAAATATAGAGCTTTGGAAGAGAACTAAGCAAGCTCCAGTAGACCAAGAGGTGAAGAAAAGACGCTGGTGTTGAATAGGGTACACGTTGAGAAAACTGGAGAACAATATAACTAGAATGTCTTTACAATGGAACCCACAGGGGCAAAGGAATAAAGGAAGTCCTAAAACACACGGAGAAGGGAGAAAATGAGTTTAGAAAGATGGGGAGGACATGGGGAGAGCTGCATGTGATAGCAAAGGATAGAACGACTTGGCGTCAGTTGGTTGAGGGCCTGTGCTCCATTATGGGCTAGAAAGGCAGAAGAAAGTATATATAAAAATATAACGGATTATTATACAAATGATCTCCATTTCAAATCTACTAGGCACTCCACTCGAAACCTCCTGGCACGCTCAGGTTGGAGATTACTTGTGTAGATAGATCAAACACACGACCTGATTAGAAAATTTTATTTTTGGCTAATTAGTCAGAAATGTGGATGAATGGATGCATGCACTTGCAAACATACGGACATAATATATATATATATATATATATATATATATATATATATATATATATATATATATATATATATATATATATAAATCAGGTACATGCGATGACTGTCAGATAGTATCATCATTATCATCCACATCATCAAGTGCCTTGCCCACTGGTGTATTCGATCATGCCTCTCCATGATCTGCGATCTTCCACGACACATCTCAGTTCGTCTGCTGAAACGTCTCCACGCCATGATAACAGGCTGTCAAGAATCTGCTGTCGTTGTCTTCCACTGTTTCTTGTGCTACAGATCTTTTCACTGCAAACACCGTGCTCCAGTTAACATTTTTTATTTTCACAACATGATGAACAACTGATTTCTTTATCTTTCTGATGCCTGTGATAAGTTGTTTTCCAGCCGTCGCCTCTTTCGAAACACCTGCTTACTCCTTTCTTTGACTGAACAATGATTTTTCTATAAAAATCACATCTTTGTGGCCCTCAGAAATTACTTTTATTGGATACTCAACTTAAGAACTTGTTATAGTTTCTCACGTGACCCCCCCCCCCCCCCCCCGGTGGGACCGGTTGGACGAAGTATTCTCCCCTGTGTTTTTGTCGTGTAGTTTAATTAACGTCGAGTAAGGCCCCGGCAGAAACGTTGATTTGTGCTGTTTGTACAAGTTGTTCTACTTCCCTATTTCGTTAAGCGTTTTAGTCACAGTTCAGTGATTTTATTTCTTGGTATTAGCTTGACTGCAGTCAACTCGTATTTTCACCAACGGGAGACTTACATATTGGATACAGTTAGGCCACAACGCTAGTGTTGGGTTCTCTCTTCAACAGATATGCAAGCGACAGCTCGGCAACAATGAAAAATATCACCTGGTCAACGGAACAGACATCTACTGTACCAACCATTACCGGGACATGGTCAACGGCGAGAGTTCAGGTAAGTCTGTTATGATGATGAGTTTCTAGGTTAAACTACTAACAATCTTTTCTTCAGCCTATGCCGGCGTCGATGGTAATGAACGGGCAGACAGATTGGCTGGATTTGCACCACTGGGTGGTGAATTGATACATGACAAGGCAGAGGTTGTAAAAGCCATCTGGGAACAAGCAACGGAATCAGTAGAAAAACAAGATTATTATGGCCTGGGGAGAATGAGGCACCTGGGTGTAACCAGAGGGTCTGGCCGGCTCACTACACTCAGAGGAAAGACAAGACGGACATATAAACAGATTGTGAAAGGTACCCTCAGTATTGGAACTCTGCACTGGCTGCTAAAGATGAGGACAGAGCACGCATGGGAATGCTCTGAGTGTTGTGATGTGAATTCTTGACTCAACTCAACAGCAAACAAACAGACAATTTATTGACTGGCACTCACAGAAAGAAGTAGAAAGATAGAAGGACACACTAGACAACATAAACATTGACAAATATAGTTACCGTGCCGGGAATCGAACCTGTCAACTCCAAATCGCGTGTGAGCCTTGCTTTGGAAACAAGTTTACTAAGGAAACATCAGCAAGGTACACCTGAAAAAAAAAAGTGTTTTCATTGTTGTCTTATATCTATTATGTTGTTGTGTCTTCTGTTTATTTATGGGTTAAACAGTGAATTAGACTGTATAATGTCCGAGCACACACTCATTAAAGTCTTCTTCTTTTTTTTTTTTTTTAGCGTTTACCGCCGGTAAATGCCTGTGGAAAGTTATGGTTGTTCGTCCACTTCTAAATTTTGATCTTGAGTTTTGAATGCAGACTGCTGATCTTCGTTTCTCAAGCAAATACACTCCGACTTCGAAGGAAACACTACTAGTTCGTCGACTTTTACGACTTACTTGTTAGAGGACAGTGTATCTGCCCCCCCCCCCCCACCACCACCACCCCTTAAAATGGAACCCACACCGGACCCTAGAGTCACTATAGGCAAACCTGCAAAAACGCCATAAACATTAAATAATTGTATACTAAACTATCAGAACCATGTTACACTATTAATACGTGTATGCCACCCTTTTGGAACTGGCTAACATCTAGACTAACTTTATGCTAACCTTTTAAAATCCTTAGCTTCTAAAAATGTATGTTAACTTGTTAAAACCCTCAGACATTTGGAATAAATTTATGCTAACTTGTCAAAACCCTCTTACACTTGGTTAAAGTGTATGCTAACCCATAAAAAGCCGCTAAAATTTAGAATGAATTTATGTCAATCTATTTGAATCCATAAACATGGAACACTTTATCAGTGGGGGGGGGGGGGGGGGGGGGGGGAGAGAAATTATATGCTCATCTGTTAATATTCTTTTCTCCAACCACTATCTTGACCTCTTCTGACATTTAAAACTGAAAATTACTAATATCTGTGTTACGTTTCAAAGAAAACCACTGCAAATCGTACATGTTATTTCCATCAACGACATTTCTGGTGGTGACTGTTGGCTTCGGCGCCTCTAGCAACTGCCATATTCATTTACTGCGTGCGCATATTTCTGGATTGTGCCGGGACTAATTGTTTGTTCACAAGGTGAGGGTCGTTTCGTGTGATTTGCACTGGCACAGGAACGGAGCAAGTATGGGGAAAACCCGATTGCATTAAAGTTTAAACCTTGACTAAGACTTAGGATAGGTCGTTTATATTGTTGCCTCATGCAGAAAAATCGTTATATATTTACAAATGTTTACCGTCCACAGACGGACAACAGCCGCCCAAGAAAGCCAAAAGAAACAGAACCTCGTACACCGAGGCGCAGATCAAGTTCCTGCAGGACCGCTTCCTGCGCGACAGTAACCCAGATGGCAACGAGCTGGAGAAAATTGCCACCCACATCAACCTGAAGAAGAGAGTCGTTCAGGTACGTTCGGCTTGGTGGTGATTTTTGTGTGTATCATCATCGCCGTCTTCGTCGTCTTTATTACAGTCATTGGCGTCGTCGTCATCATGACTACCATCACTATCATCAACATAGTCGTAGTCATCATCACTATCGTCATCATCATCACCGTCATCATCACCGTCATCACCTTCATCATTATCATAATCGTCATCATTATCATCACCGTTATCACCTTTATCATTATCATCATCGTCATAATTATCATCACCGTCATCATTACCGTCATCACCTTCATTATTATCATCATCGTTATCATAAGCATCACCGTCATCATCACCGTCATCACCTTTATCATTATCATCATTGTCATCATTATCATCACCGCCATCATCATCGTCACCGTCATAATCACCGTCGTATCATCATCGTCATCATCTAGTCTTCACAATCATGTAGATTCCAGAACCCTATTGGGGGAGGGAGGAGAGACACTACTAGACCCCTGCCTCCCCTACAAGCATGTTGTAAAAGTCGACTAACTGCCGGTTACCTTCGAAGTCCCAGGGCATCTGCCTTAGAGCCAATGAACCAACAATCTGCATGCAGATAAGCGGAATCGGTAACGTGACTTATGTGTATGTAGACTGTTGGGTCCTTGCCTCTCAGACTTATGCTCATCGACTTCGAAGGAAGCCCCCATTCAGGTTCTGTCTGGAGCAAGACTTGAGTCCACAGATGAACGAACAACCAGAACTTTCCACAGGAATTTACAGCGGTGAACGGTGAATAATAATAATAATAATAATAATAATAATAATAATAATAATAATAATAATAATAATAATAATAATAATAATAATAATAATAATAATAAGAAGAAGAAGAAGAAGAAGAAGAAGAAGAAGAAGAAGATCATCATCGTCGTTGTCATTGCCAACATCGTCTTCGTCAGCGTCATTATTGTCATCATTATCATCCCCACTCTAGCTCAGTGTTTCTTTGTGTCTACGCCCTTCCAGTTTCTGAATATTTATAGTTATTATGTTGTAGATCGGGTGTTAACCCGGCTCTCCGCTGCAGTTGAGGGTATTCAAGTAATGTATGTAAGTTGTAGCCCAACAGGACATCACACAAAGCGATAAACTCTCGGTGACACAAAGTGCCATCATGCGGGTGAGGATCACCCGTGGAGAGGTCCCAGAAATCCCGTTCAGAGATTAGGTCATAGTTATGGCCCGGCTATATTTAGACCCCCCCCCCCCCCCCCCGGCAAAATCCAGGATGAGACTTCAAATAACGTACAGTTGCATCCCAAACAGGGATAACAAGGTATATATCCCAGTACGGAGCTAGTTCGCCACTTCTCTTTGTATAACGACCATTCGGATCACCATTTATTGTTTTAAAATTGTGAGTATTTTACTTTGCTGAAAGTACTGAAAACAGTTGTTAGGCTTGGAGAGATCCGAAATTTTTAAATTATTCGCGTGTGGTCAAAGCGATCTTATAGATATCTTCCTGTAAATAAGAGCAGGTTAGGCATTTAATAAGGAGATGGATGAAATGGGTGATGAAGCCTCACTATGATTCTAGATGCTATTATGTCGTATGTATGTGTATCTCCCCACCAGGACATCACGCAAGCGATAAAAACCCAGTGACACAAAGTGCCACCATGCGGTTGAGGATCACCCGTGGAGAGGTCCCGGAAACTTTGTTAGCCGTTAGGCCATATGTAAGGCCCGGCTATATTTATCTTCTGTCGTAATGCGGTCCGGATGTCGTGATAAGAGGGTCTGGAGTAGTGGGCGAAGTTTGGAATAGTGGATAGGGTCTGGTGTGTGCATACAACCGATTTCCCGTCCATCCAACTTCTCCCTGTAGTAGTACAATCGTCTTCTTATGTCTCTGCAGGTATGGTTTCAAAACAACAGAGCGCGTCTTAAGAAATCGGCCAACAACAACAAGAACGGTAACCAAGAAAATAAAAATCCGGCAAACAGCGGAGTTACGGGAAATAGTTCACTCAACGGTACGTTTATCTTCCTACATATCTAACTACTTGTACTTATAAACGGTATGCTTGGGTAACTACTTGTACTCATAAACTGTCTGCTTGGGTAACTACTTGTACTCATAAACTGTCTGGTTGGGTAACTACTTGCACTCATAAACTGTCTGCTTGGGTAACTACTTGTACCCATAAACTGTCTGCTTGGGTAACTACTTTTACTCATAAACTGTCTGCTTGGGTAACTACTTGTACTCATAAACTGTCTGCTTGGGTAACTACCTGTACTCATAAACTGTCTGCTTGGGTAACTACTTGTACTCATAAACTGTCTGCTTGGGTAACTACTTGTACCCATAAACTGTCTGATTGGGTAACTACTTGTACTCATAAACTGTCTGCTTGGGTAACTACTTGTACCCATAAACTGTCTGCTTGGGTAACTACTTGTACTCATAAACTGTCTGCTTGGGTAACTACTTGTACTCATAAACTGTCTACTTGGGTAACTACTTGTACTCATAAACTGTCTGCTTGGGTAGCTACTTGTACTCATAAACTGTCTACTTGGGTAACTACTTGTACTCATAAACTGTCTGCTTGAGTAACTACTTGTACTCATAAACTGTCTGCTTGGGTAACTACTTGTACTCAAACTGTCTGATTTGGTAACTACCTCCCCGCCAAGCATGATCTCTGTTTACATACCTGTGTAGCAATGTAAATGTTATGTCTTTGTCTTGGTTTCAGTGAGTTGTCTGAGTGGTCTCGAAGTATGGTGCTCGCCTCAAGTGCTGGAGGTTTCGGACGCCCGTGTGTATTGTTGCGCACTTAACAAAATCCCTCGGCAGTTTGAAATCGAAAAGAGTAGCCTAACGGCTGCTGCCTCGGCAAAAATATGGAGTTACAAATCTACACACAGTATTTCAGGATCCTCGCCGATGCAAAGGAGTTCGTGCATTGCGCTATTATTCAGACTCAGGCTCGAGTTAGAAGTACAATGGAACACCTATAAGTTACATCCGTGTGCCACGATGTTGATCCGTCGAGTAAACATAAAACTTCTTGGGATGTTGTTCCGTCGAGTAAACA